AGAGGTGAACTTACAATGAATAAATTTCTTTGTAAACAACATTTTTGGTGAAGCAAGCTGAACTATTTTCAAGAAGCCTTCCTTGCTTGCTTCCGTGGATTATTTTTATTTTAACACACTTAGAGCTTTTCACCCTAGAAAAAGCAACATATAACTGACCATGGCTAAAAACTGGTTCAGGTAAATAGATGCCAACCATTTCAAGGGTTTGGCCTTGTGATTTATTTATTGTCATAGCGAAGGCTAATTTTACAGGGAACTGTCCCCTTCTGAGAATGAAAGGAATCTCAGAATGTATTGGGGCCAAGTAAACTCTAGGAATAAATACAGATTGATCTACTGCAGTGCCAGTCCGAACTTTTGCAATAATTAAATTAGGTAACAATTTAGTTACTACTAATCTCGTCCCGTTACAAAGACCTCGCTTTGTGTTTAAGTTTCGAAGAAGCATTATGATTGCTCCAACTTATAGCTTCAGCTTATGAAGTGGCATTCCCGAAGTGTTAAGGCTGTTGAGAAATACCGGTGGATAGCTCTCATTATCTTCAGGTGTCGCATCATCTATTGAGTCTGAGCTGAAATATGTTATGGAGTCACCTTCAAGGATATCTAAAACTCGGTTGTTGATATCATCAACATCCACATTTCTGGGACAAAGTATAGCCTTATCGGTATACTGTTCAAAGTCAGAAGGAAGCAATTTATCTCCATAAATTTTCTTTGACTAAATCGCCATTGCAAACCATTTCAGATGGTATTTCAAATGTATCGGAGTCTAAGACAAGATCATTTGTTAGCTCGCCATTTCCAAGCTTTAAAAGCCAGGCACTAAACTCTGGGTCAATTGACCTAATATTATTGTCTAATTTCAAAATATTAATTATTTTCCATAGAGGATGAAATTTAATACTTGAATCTACAATTGCAGCTTGAGTTCCATGTGGAACAACAGGCAAAGTCTGTCGGAAGTCTCCTCCAAAGACAATGGTTTTACCACCAAGTGTTTTTTCATTTTGCATGATTTTTTTCAAGAGATTATTAATGCATCTAAGAGCATCTTTTGGTGCCATGGTAGCTTCATCATAAATAATGACATTTGCATGATCATCATTGCAACATGATCATCATTTTCAGGATGCAAGGCACCTGAGTGGTGATAAATCTGTCCGTTGATTCGGAAACAATAGGGCCCATATCCAGGAGGAGGTGCAAGGTTTGCTCCCATTGAAGCGAATGCTAGGGCACTGTTGACGGAACGGATGTTTTCCATGAAGTTCTTTGAAAGTTGATGCTTTCCAGTCATTAAACTTTCAAGTAGTTCAGAGGTTTGAATCGGTTCAAGTTCGACTTTTCCTTTGGAACAGCATTTATGAAAAGTTTTACTGTATGTCGTTTGTTCCAATTCGAAATACTTTGCTCTACATTTTGGGCAAACTTGATCAAGTTGGCCACAAAGGTGCAGGGGAATTTGATCTTCCTCGAAACATGTCCCTGTTGGCAAAGGTAGATTATCTCCCTGTCGAATTCTTTGCATCCTCAGCCTACTGTTTTCCCTTTGAAGGGCTCTTTGATTTTCGCTCATATTCATTCGGTATTGCCGTTGTTGTTCATTATGCCGTTCTCTTACGGGTGAATTTAAACGTCTTTGTCGCTGCTGTTCAATACGACGTTGCTTTGCTTCGATGGCCTCAACAATAGAAAGGGCTCTTTTAGGAAATATGGTTTATAAAAATAAAATAATCAAGCTAAATTAAAAAAATAAAATTATTTAAAAAATATTATTCCTCAAATATTCACCGAATAAATTACCGAAAGCAAAAAATGACTAATAAGGTCAGAATAGAATAAAATAAAGGATGAAAACAAAAACCAAACAGACCTACAGCCGGCCACGTCACTTAACTACGTAACTTGAACACGTGACACAGAATGGACCAATCCTATTCGGCTTCAACGAACAAACGCTTTATTATATGTGATTCAGAGATTGGAGTATTTTCGGTCAAATAGAATATAATGTATAAATAGATTATTGATTCTAAAGGATATAGTCACGTCAGCGGTTAGATGGCGAATGGAAAATTTTCCTACGTTAGCAATCTGAAAAAAAGGCATTATATATATATTATAAATAAAAAAAGAGATTTTCTGTTGATTTTGGAATATTATTTTCTGGATACATGAGTATCATTATAATATTGTTTTGCAGTTGTGGGAATAATAATAAAAATGGTTTTGATCAGAAGTTGCTTTATTCAAGCTAAGTAATATATATAAACATTATTTAAAAAAAATAATGCCTGGCTTAAGACGTAAGAATCTAAAAAATGAAAAACCTATTTACATAATGTACAAAAGATTTGAGCCGGCCATCGAGAAAAAAACAACAATGAGTTTTTATAGGGGAAGCGAGACATCTGGCGGTCGATTTAGTAGAGTATTTGAATCTATGAAATAAATTTAAAAAATAAAATAACATATCAAATAATATCTTTATATAACATATATATATTACAAAAAAGATTCTTCTGCTGATTTTGAAATCAGATATATAGATTTATTAATTTCTGATGCTGATTATTTTGTGGATACATGAGTACTTTTGTGATATTGTTTTGCAGTCGTATGAACAGAATAATAAAAGTAGTTAAGATCAGAAATAGCTTTAATTGAGCTTATGGAATATAAAATACATAATTAAGGAATACATACCTGAATTGAGGAGTAAAGAAGAAGAAAATAAAAGATTACATATTTACATATGTACAAAAAGATTTGAGCAGGCCAACGGGAAAGAGAGAGAAAAATATCTTTATATTACGGGGCTGCTAGATGACAACGGGAAACAACAACAAATAGATTTATATAGGGAAAGTCACGACATCTGGCGGTAGACTTAGCAGAGTAATTTGATCTTGAAATTATAATTTTTAAATTAAATACATTTTTTATTTAACATATATATATTTTAAATAATTATATAATAATATAATAATTATATAAATACAATAATAATATAATAATTTCAAATATGAAATAGGCGTTATATTGTTAATTTTCAAAATATTCACACCCATATTTTACAAAAATTTATTTTGTCCATTATATAAATACTAGACGAATGGCCCGGGCAACGCCCGGGTTTTACCCGAGTGCGAATATATTTTAAAAAACGTTTTAATCTTCATCTAGATCTTCATCTTGTCTACACCTTGTATACATCTTGCTTCCTAGGGTTGCCTAGAGTGGCCGCTATAGACAGGGTGGTCTGTATAGACAGGTGGATGTATCACACAGCTGATAACAGGGTTGCCTAGAGTGGCCGCTATAGACAGGGTGGTCTGTATAGACAGGTGGATGTATCACACAGCTGATAACAGCGTTGTCTAGAGTGGCCGCTATAGACAGGTGTATGTATCACACACCTGATAACAGGGTTATCTAGAATGGCCGCTATATACAGGGTGGTCTGTATAGACAGGTGGATGTATCACACAGCTGATAACAGGGTTGTCTAGAGTGGTCGCTATAGACAGGGTGGTCTGTATAGACAGGTGTATGTATCACACAGCTGATAACAGGGTTGTCTAGAGTGGCCGTTATAGACAGGGTGGTCTGTATAGACAGGTGGATGTATCACACAGCTGATAACAGGGTTGCCTAGAGTGGCCGCTATAGACAGGGTGGTCTGTATAGACAGGTGGATGTATCACACAGCTGATAACAGGGTTGTCTAGAGTGGTCGCTATAGACAGGGTGGTCTGTATAGACAGGTGTATGTATCACACTGCTGATAACAGGGTTGCCTAAAGTGACCGCTATAGACAGGGTGGTCTGTATAGACAGGTGAATGTAACAAACTGATGATAACAGGGTTGCCTAAAGTGACCGCTATAGACAGGGTGGTCTGTATAGACAGGTGGATGTATCACACAGCTGATAACAGGGTTGTCCAGAGGGGGGCAGGGAGATCACGTGTTCGCCGGCTGCCAATGGGCGCGCATTCTATCCGTGAGCTTCAGACAGACAAAATAAGGCAATTATATATATAGATATATGTAAAATTGTTGCAAATGTCGACGAATGTGGCTGTTTAATAAATTTAGATCCAATATATGCTTTATATTTATTTATATATATTATTATGGATTGCTCAATCTTTAAAATATACGATATATATATATATATATCAGTTCTTTTCTCCCCATTGAATATAACAAAATATTTAAAAAACTTAATTCTGTTGACGTTATGTGGCTCTGAGTTTGTTGTTGACACACATTAAATATGTTATAACACCTTGATAAAGGTTGGCGTTCAGCCAACTGAAATATTGGTAAAATAAATGATATTTTGATCCAATATATAACTTTGATTAAATATTTATATTTATAATTCGAAATAAACGTTGTAATGCTTTGACACGAGTTGGAATTCAGCTAACCGAATATTGGCCAATATATGCCTTTCTATTATCTGAATATTTAAATATACAGATTGCTCCATATTCAGAACATTATATTGTTACACCGTCCTGGGGCTTCTTGTCAATATTCGATGGTTCCATATCAAGATTATAAGTCAGACAGCACAAAATTGGAGAGGAGTGGACTTCAGGAATTGGTTTAACCATGGAGATAAGCACCACCACCATAAGTCAGACAAGAACGAGTAATCGTAAAACAAATTTATTTTTAACAAAGGAAGTATTTACAATTATTTTCAATCTTAAAAAACTTAGAGAAATCTAAACAAAATATTTACAAATAAAATGCTGACGTCACGTGACTGATGATGATAAACCGATTATGTCACTACAGATTATTCTGTGACAATATTTATATATTTATATATATATAGAACGAAGCTTGAAAATTATACCGCAAATATTTCTTTTGAACGAAAAATAGAAATTTATTTAAAAGAGAAATAACAATTATTTCTAACCTTAGGGATGAAGTATGATAGGATGAATTGTGAAGAGTAATGATAAACGGAAAAATAAAGTAACCTAGTGGACATGGCATCTGCCCGGTATGTGGAACACTGTGGGTTCGATTCCCATCCCTGGACACTTTTATTTTTCTGTTTATCATTACTCCTCACAATTCATCCTATCATACTTCATCCCTAAGGTTGGAAATAATCGTTCTCTTTAAAATAAATTCTAATTTTTCATTCAAAAGAAACATTTGCGGTATAATTGTTAAACTTCGTTCTACAATCATAAGCCGCATTATATTGTATTATATATCATAGAGAGAGAGTATACTATTATTTATATAATAAACACATATTTGATGTTTCGGCTAAGTTAGTGGTCCTAAAGAAAATTTTAGTTATGATCAACACAGACAGATAATTAATCTTTTTAAGATTAGAGGAAACTGAGAAGAGAGAAGAGAAGCAAGAGATAAAATATTCTTAAAATTAATAAATTATTATTTGTAAATATACTGGATTGTGTGTGAATGCTTTGACGTTATAAGATATATTCGCAAAGATCTTGGTCAGGATAAATAATTAATTTAAAATATGTCTTTCAATTAAACAACCAATTTTTCACTAGAGTAACTTAAAAATGAAATATACTCCTTGATAATGGTTCTTTTTTTTTTGAAGAATGGGAACACCCGCAGGGTAATTGGGTTGAAAGAAGGGTGTTTCCCTCAATTAATACAAAGGATTTTCTTCTCTTTTCTTTACCAAAATTCTTTTTATTCTTCTCAGAAAATCTTAAAAATTCATTTATGTACCATTGGATTCTCTCCTCATCATAATAATGATTCGAAAATGTAATTTTTGATTTGCTTTAATATTTTAGTATGGTGTATTTTCTTGTGATAATTCAATGGCAGAAACTCCAGGTTGAAGAAATTGTTTCACGAAATGGCTTTCTAGGAGAGATCTCGAAACCTTTTTTAAATAAGTTATCTAACGCACTTACCTTTGCAACAACAACAGAAATTTAAATATATAAATTTGCATATATTTCAGTATGCATATAACATAGAAGTATGCTCTAAGTAGACTGTAATTATACAAGAAGTAGAGATTATGATAAGGCAAGAAGAATATAAGAAGATAAAAGCAGTAGTTCCATACCCTATATATATAAAGGTCAGTGTATGTATGTATGTATGTATGTTTGTTTGTCGGCTATACACGTCCACAATGTGCAACTAATCTGACTGAAATTTTAACAGTATATAGAGTTGAATCTGGAAAAAACCTATAGGCAAATTTTCAGACTTCTATCTCGAATATCTTTAAAGTAATTAACAAATTAAAAACAAAATTTTCCTTATTTCACACGCAACCAGCGCCTCACTGCGGTAACTTCGAGAAGTAAAGTTGAGAAAGGATGGACCACGTGGGGCGACGGTGACCTTGAGTGACGTAATGATGGCGTAGGGACAAGAAATCACGTGCTATCATTTTATGTATATATCAAATTTAAAATTATTCATATAAAAATAAAAATAATACAATTTTGAAATATCGTTGTGAAAATTTACATTTTTATATTTATATTTTAAAAACACACAAAGTTTGGAGCGAGACGTTTCAAAAGAGTGACATCCACACGGCGCCAGTTTATAATTGTAATGTATAGTATTCGAATAAAAACATTTAATATGGTAAAACCCGGGCGTTGCCCGGGTCATTCGACTAGTAAATATATAAAAATAGACAAGTAATTCAGATGATGCAGAGAAAGAGAATGTACCATGTACTTTCAAATATACAGTATGCAAATTGAAATGACTGGCAGAGGGATTCGTCTCCTGTCTTAGAACGTCGTTACTTGGGAAAAGCAAAGTTGGATTTTGGAAGTTTGGAAGTAATTTGATTTCTATATCTGTAATTTTAAATACTTCTATCTCTATTAAATATTTTATCTCAATATTTTTATAAAATAGCATTGAGACGTATTTAGAATATCTTTGAAAATATTTCGTTATAACCGATACTTTATCACATTCTTTACGTTTTATATTGAGAGGATAAACCGGATTCACTATTTCAATGCATAAATAAAGGGAGATGTGTCATCATTAGTATATCAATACCAACCTCCCATATATGGTATTCTGACCTGAATATCGGCCATTTTACCAGATTAAACATCTTTTTGGCAAATTAGACCGATTTCATAAACCCTCTCTCGTAGGATGTTATATAATCGATGACGCTCCTTTACTGATGAGGGTCAAAGCCCGAAACCATGGTATACAGGTTGGCTATTGCCTTAATTTGTCAAAACTGGTATTGTGGTACATTCTTCATCGACACCTTTACGTTCTGTACTAAGGTGGACTAAAATGAATAGTTTTAATTCATTTTTAAAGTGAGAGATGCTGCTTGAAATTATTTTACACTCATGGACAAAACTTAAGGAAGTTGTTTCTTTCAGCATGTATATCAGGATTCAGACAATAACTCTGCAAGATATTTGATTACACAGCGATCTTTATTGAAGATACACGAGATAATCAAGTGTGAACAAAATTGTCTCTCTTTAAAAAAAAAAAAAAAAGACCCCAGGTGACATCAAATTTTCCACTTTCTAAAGTTTTGTCCATGATTGTATTTCAATATTTCGACGAGCTATCCTTTCTGAAGATAAACGTCTCTCTAGTAGCAAAGGTTATCTCCTCACAGCTGCTTTATGAACATACAAGTATACTTGTATATTCACATAAACCTAGTTCATTGTTTAATTTGAGAAAAAAGCGAGCGTGCTGCACGCCGAAATATAAATGAATAAAAATAATTTCATAATGATCTGAAATACGCTTCTTTTTAATTATATTGGAATTAATATTTTCCATAATATTTTAAGAAAGAAAGTTCATATGGCTGCAAACATACCCTTGTCTGCGAGTGCAGCAACAACAAATCATCCTACGGTTATTCTTCACAGGAATGAAGGCGTCAGCAAAGTCCATTTATTTAAAGTTGACTCAGCACATTCCCAGTGGGCCATTCATTCCATTTTACTGTCGGTTTTATAAAATTGAATTTAGCACAAACCTCGTCAATTATTCTTTTTTGTTTCTCTCTGACATGAACTTTATCGCGTCGACCAGTCTAATACAGAAATTCTATTTGAGATTTTGTTTATGGTATTTATTTAGGATTTAGTATATTTTATACGTACCTGGATGTATGGAGTAACTATGTAGGGTTTGAGGATATTATCCAAGAAGGAGTCTGATTAGTTAGGATATCGAATGTCATCTACTAGACAAAATGAATTGTCGTCTACAGTGACAATGTCAGGCTTCTCTAACTCGAATTCTTCTTTTATTTTCTCTTTATAGTTTCTCTTTTCAATCCATTCTATCAATTCTATTCTTATTCTTTGCACCATTCTCTTTTTATTCATTTTACTTTCCAGAATTCTCTTTTGCAATCCATTTCTTCTCAATATATATCTAATCGATCTGTCTTTTTCTTATTATGTTCAAAAGGTCTTGCTCTTCTGTCAATCTTACAAATACATCTTAATTCTTTATTCTTTACAGTCACATCCGAGTCCACATTTCAAATGCTTACAATATTCTTTTCCTACCCTTGTTCTCCTTTCATGTTTAAGTTTTAAAATTTGCTTAGGATAGAGGAACGATTATTTCCGGGGAAAAAAACACACTCAGAAAAATATCAACACTCGTTGACAAAACCTAAGGAAGTGAAAAACATTTAATGTCGCATGTCGTCTATTTTTTTATTAAGACAACAGAGGCAATTTCAAACACACTTAGTTATCTCGTCTCTATTCAATAAAGGTCACTGTGTATCAAATACCTTTCAGAATTATTGTTTGAATCCTGAAATACATGCTCAAAGGTACCACTTACTTAGAGTTTGCCCATAATTGAAATTTATGGATCTTAAAAACAGGGAGTAGAAAATAGTTATCTTGAAGAGTTCATACTTTATTTCAGAAACACATTCTGCTTCTAGAAATAAATATTTCTTTTTATGAATTTAAACTATTTCTACTGACTTCCCTATAATTCAAAAAGAGAAAAGGCTAAAAGAGTTTAGCTTAGCTCTTATAGAAGTCCGTTTAACATCTGAATTTTCTCGATGAAATAAATGTAAAAGCGAAGTATAGAAGAATCTCTTCACTGCCTAAAAACATTTATTTTATACGCTTATGAATACAACATTATTCTTAAAATTGCGCATTGAGCATTTCATATCTTTGCAAGAAGTGATGTGATACATTCAAGAGACCTTTAGTTACAAGGCGAGCATATAAAAAGATTCACGTGAAGGCTTCGGCAGTTATGCGTCATAGGTGCGGAATAGAAACAGGAAATGTATGACAATAGTTCTAGAAAAAGAGTAAAAACCAGAAACATTATAATGTTTGATCCAACTAATATAGAATAGATTATTTTTAATTAATATTATAAAACCTTTGTGTGTGTATTCTGAAAATTTTATTAATAATTATATTAAAGTTCTCCTAAATCAAATTATAGATATAATATTTTATTGTTATTGAATAATGTTTTTATAAGATGGAAATACCCTATTGGTTCAACCAAGATGGAAACAAAGTCCATTGTCGAAGAGATTGGTAGTGCTGTCGAATCATAGGGTCGAAACAGTTTATAGGTTCATTTTTGATAAGACCCGACACTGGTACAAATATCTTTTCTTATCGGATAAACCATTAGCACATTTACGTCATATAAAAACTTAAAAAAAAAAAAAACAGATGTTATACAGATATAATATCTCTTTATTTTACACTAAGAGAATTTTAATATCATTAAATACTTAATTATGATGCACTAGCGCGCCATCCTTTTTGAAAATTCGAAACTATTTTAGACGCGTAAGATTCTTTTTGAAATTAAACAATTTCTACTGCCCTCACTTTCCATATGCAGCAAGGGCAGTAGAAATTATTTAATTTCAAAAAGAATCTTACGCGTCTAAAATAGTTTCGAATTTTCAAGTTAAGTATTATCATGGTTCTGTATAGCTTCTTTTTTACTTAATTTTATTATATATCGCAATTATATAGAATTTCAATTTTATAAATCCAGCTGAATTTTAACAAAATAACTGAATGGCCATAGAAAAGTTTATATAAAAGAATAAATCTATCTTTATAAATATATTTATAGAAAAGTTTATCTACACTTTGCTGAAGAAACTAACGATTCCCAAAGTAATTGATAAGAGATTTAAGCCTTTTCTAAGCACTCTCCAGCTAATTCTCAACCTAATTTTTTCTTCTCAGATTTCACGACTTATCTCTAAGAGAAATTAATTCTTTGCTTTGATTTCTGCCAAGGACTTATCCTTCAGAGTTTGATAAGGAAATAGAGATTTCTTCCTATCTATATATCTTTCTTTCTCTAGCTATTCTCAGCCATCGTTTTCACATCACCATTACAGAAACTACTTGTTCTTTGTCTGTAAAGTCTCTCTTTATTGACTGGATTTAACCTTCCCCAACTAAACCATTAGTAAAGCACTAATTGTTTTCAACTTCCAACAGTAATCCCTGGAACTATTTCGCAATACAATTACACTATTTTTATTTCAATTGAAAATAAAGATCGTTAGTATTTTAGATAGAATTTACGTAATTTTCATATGCTAATAATAATTAATGGCAATTATATTATTGTTTGAGAAAAGTATTTTATTTTGTAAATATATTATCAACATATATAGTCACGACCGTCATGGGCCGGCCGGCCGGTTCTGTCACGGATGCGCGCGCATCATCATTATGATCATTATCATTATCTAATGATAATAATAATAATAATAATAATTATTATTATATTATTATTATTATCCATCAACATATATAGTCACGACCGTCATAGGCCGGCCGGTTCTGTCACGGATGCGCGCGCATCATCATTATGATCGTTATCATTATCTAATGATAATAATAATAATAATTATTATTATTATTATTATATTATTATTATTATCCATATATAGTCACGACCGTCATGGGCCGGTTCTGTCACGGATGCGCGCGCACAGGGAGGTGACGTGCTCGCCGGCAGCCAACGGGCGCGCGCCGCCGGCATTACGTCATAGATTATAAAGACAAGGTAATAAGGCCAAATAAAAAATAGTGTGTGATAAGGCACAATTTGGATTATCTACTTATATAATTGCCTTATTCTCTCTGTGTGAAGTTCACTGTGTGAAGTTCACGGATAGATTTTGTTCAGAATGGATAAAATAAAAAAAGTGTCAAGGGATGGGAATCGAACCCACGACCTTCCGCTTACCGGGCAGCTGCCATGACCACTAGGCTACCCTGGACATATTTTTCCGTTCACATTTTTACATTTTCAAGACACACACAGTTTGGGGCGGGACGTTTCACAAGAGAGACATCCACGGCGCCAATTTATAATTGTAACGAATAGTATTTTAATTAAAACATTTTTAAAATATATACGCACTCGGGTAAAACCCGGGCGTTGCCCGGGCCATTCGTCTAGTAGATATATATGCGCGACAATTGACAAATAAAAACAGTTTATTGACATATAGTCAACAGTAAGGAGAGAGGTTACAATAGGGAGAAATATATACAACAGACGGAGCCCTCTCCGAAGCGACGTCTGGATTTCATCAGGAGCTTAAAGCCGCCTTGAGTTCAGACAGTCCGTTGCGGATTATGAAATCCATGTCCCCAGCATGCTCGATGACAGTTATGAGGGATTCGACAAGAATAATCTTGTGTTCAGGCGAGAGTTCCGCGAGGAAAGGCTCCCTAAGTTTGGGGTACAGGACCGCATACAGGACTTCATCCATGACCATTCCTCGCTTATGCGAGTATATGTGATATATATGTGTGTGTGTCGTCACATTTTGAATAGTGCTTATTTAAACCAATGCATATTTTTTTAATATTTAAAAAAACATATTTTTTCTTTTTCATCCTTTGTACATATTTTGATATGACAATTTTTTTACCAACTTGTATTATTTCATATAATAATTTATAAATTAATATTATTATAAATATATCGAATAAATACTTTTAAATATCAGAAAATATCACTAAATCTTATGTACATAACCTTTGTGGGAACCTGAACTGTTCATATGAGCGCCACGCAAGCAAACGTGGGCTTCGAAGAAAAAAAAACATTCTAGTTTATTTAGAATGTTTTTGCTGTTTCATCTACTAAGTTTAAAATATTGCCTTACCATCCTCTCATTGCTTCTTATATGTTAAACAAGTTTTTCAAGCGTTGGAGAATTGTTTCACGATGAGATTGTCACATACATTCATGGGTAAAACTTAGAGAAGTATCATATTTTAAGAATAAACCACTCTTTTCATCTGCTTTTATAGCGACGGATTTCCAATACATGTAAATTCGAACTTTCTCCTAAAAAAATCAAATATATATTATAAAATATAATAAGAAAATAATATATATATATACATTAGTAAATTAAATTTAATTGCCATTTATCGTTAAAATATTGTTATGAAACATATTTTGCGGAAGAGCTTTGCTCGATGCAATACATTGAAATTATATGTATGTTTCTCTACAGACCTATAAGCTTATGTCCATAGTTCACTAAACACCCCTAAGCTGCCTTCCATAGAAAATACAAGGTATATTCCAAACCAATCCAATACAATAGTAGAGCGGTCTAGAGATTAATTCGGCGAAACCGCTAAAAGGTTTCACTACTGATGAGCCAAGCCCTCTCGTTCAATAACTCATATCATTGCAGTAAGGTCTGTAGAGATAATATTTGATGATATTTAAAAGAAGCGCATTGCCAGTAAATTTATATGTGTAAAATATTAATATACTAGCCGAATGACCCGGGCAACGCCCGGGTTTTACCCTATTAAATGAACCCTGTTTCACCCGTGGTCTCTGTTTTTTGGAATTTTTCCCGAAATAATTTTGTATCTGATAATCAGACATGATACAGCAAAATTTTTAAAAAGCAAAATTTTTAAAATAGCCTATCGTCTTCCCAGTATTATTTTACCTATGTATGGAAATTTTGGTTTGAATTAGTGAACTACTGAGAATTTGTAGACGAATGACCCGGGCAACGCCCAGGTTTACACGATTAAATGTATATTACATATGGAAGATGGACGTAGTTCCCGGAGGGCACCCGCGAGGTCACTCTGCCCCCGCGCAACTGTCCAACTGGGAGCGCCCCGCGCCGTCAAAAGCGTCACGCATTCTAGAGGGCGCTGCTCGTGAGGCCGGCCGGCCGCTCAACCGGCCGTCAGCCGGGAGATCTCATTTACTCGGCGGGGGGGGGGGCAGGGGGCAGGGAAGTCACGTGCTGCGCCGGCAGCCAATCGTCGCGCGCCGCCATCGCCCGCCTGAGTGTTCTAGAAGGCGCTGCTCGTGAGCTAAGTTGAATAATTTGAATATATAGTTTTAATAAATGATTTATATATATTTTAAAATAGCCTATCGTCATCCTCGTTATTTTTTACCTATGTATGGAAATTTTGGTTTGAATTAGTGATCTACTGCGAATTTGTATAGGAGTCATACAAACCAACATACAAACATTCATTTTTATATATATAGATATACACTTGGTTCTTTTTTTATGCGGTAGATGCGTTCCAGGGGAATCCGCATAAAAAAAATCGCACAAAAAAAGACATACATTTATATGTAAAATGATGGATACGTTCCATTTATTAAAAAAAATCGCATAAAACCTAAATAATGTTTTAAAATGCACCAGAAATCGCATAAAAAAAGATTTATAATAATAAGATTTAATTTTTTTCTCATCATATTTTAATAAATGGCACATATGTGTGTTAATAACAAAAACAAAACTTAATATGTAAAAAAAAAACATAAACAAAACTTTATTTAAAATCATATTAAGAATGTTTTAATCATTATTCGCTGTCTGATAATGTGCGAACCCGTTTGTGGATTGGTGCAAGATCACTTTCATCACTTGAAGATAAAATTACGTCATCAGATCTACATGGTAATGCTTCTTTAGGAACTTCAGTGATTTTTTTTTCTTTGACAAGGTAGTCAGTAATCAAACGCTGTGATGGCTTGACTAGTTCTTTGTAGAGTTCTCTGTAGCCAGACATACAAAATTTCAGATCACGTTGGAATTTTAAGGCACGTTCTACCTCATTATCATTTTGAATAAAAAAAATTTCCAATTTACCGGAAAGTTGAAGGCCTTCCCGAAGTAATTTTTCGTCCAGTGGAGTAACATCTTCCAGTTCGCTATCTACTGTTTCGAAATCTTTAGTAGTATCTACCATACTTTCCAAAATATCATCATCATTTAGGGCTTCGTCCACAAGCAATTCTTCTATATCATGCTCGCCAAAATCATCAAAACCTTCCCACCTATTTCCTTAGCAATTGAAATAATATCTGATGTTACTATTGTTGTTCTATTTGATTCATTTCTCTTTGATACGCATTCAGGCCAAGCAGCTTTCCAACATGCATTTAAAGTTTGTGATTTTATCTCGGCAATTGCTAACGCAACATGATCTACACAGTTCAAGATATTAAATTGTTTCCAAACTTCAGTAACTGTTATTGTATCGGATTCCAGTTTATCGAAAATGAATTGGAAAGTGAATTTTACATAATATTTTTTAAATGTTGAAATAATTCCCTGATCCTAATGGTTGAATTAGGCTCGTTGTGTTTGGAGGGAAAAAACTACCTTTATATTTGGATGTTCTAAGTTTGGATGACCTGGTGCATTGTCAAGAATTAATAAGATCTTAAATTCAAGACCCATCTCTTTCATATAATTTTCTACTTCGGGTACGAAGCATTTATTGAACCATTCAGTGAAAATAGCCGTTGTTACCCAGGCCTTCTTGTTTGCCATCCAATGTACGGGCAGTGTATTTAAGTCTTTTCCTTTTAATGCACGTGGCTTTAAAGATCGATTTACAAGCAGCGGTTTTAACATTCGATCGCCAGATGCATTGCTGCACAGCAATAAAGAAACTCGATCTTTAGCAGCTTTAAAACCACTGGCTTTTTTTTCGGACTTTGCAATGTAAGTACGGGTTGGCATTTTTTCCAAAACAATCCTGTTTCATCAGCATTGAAGATTTGATGGGCACAATATCCTCCATCTTTAATAATTTTAGCCAACTTTTCAGGATATTTTCTAGCAGCTTCTTCATCTGCAGAAGCTACCTCACCTTTTATTTTTAGATTATGAAAAGAATGTCTTTTTATAAAACCAGTTAACCACCCTGTGCTGGCAGAGAATTGTGGATTACTTTCACGTGAAGATGTAGATGGCTCTGATTCTTTTAACTCCTTGTAAAATTTAAGGGCTTTCATCTTGATTAAATGTCCATCTAACGGAATTATTTTTTGAGTTAAATCTTCAATCCAAATTACGAGAGCCTTTTCTGTTTTTTCTATTAAAGTGCCTCTTGAATATGATGAAATTTTAGAACTCAAATTTGTACCAGATCTGACTGATCTTCTTATTGCCGCTTCATTTTTTTTATTGCTCTTATAGTAGATTCGCCTAAATTATAACGTTTACCTATTGCTGTTGATCTTTCTCCTTTCGCCAAGCAATCGAGAATTATAATTTTGGTTTCTAGCGAAATTGCACTTCTTTTTTGTTTTTTATTATTGTCACACATTTTCTTTAAGAGGACTAAAAGTTATAGAAAAAACTTAATGTACAATTACGCACTAAAATTATTCAAAAAAACTTACAATTCACTTGAGTAAATTTATCTTCCGGTTTTCGGTAGTAACCTTCTTTCACAAAGTTTTATTTTCTAATGCTTTCCAATATGCAGGCTTTTTTAATTAGTTTCATACAAAAACAAAATGCAGCATAAAAACACGCAATTTTAACGAGGTATTTTTGTTTTTGTCTCTTTTGTTTTTAAGAACAAATCAAGAGAAAACATGTCAATAAAAGAAAAAAGAAATTTGTAACGGCAGCTGGCACGCCGGCGGGTTTTCAGTTTTGATTTCGGTTTTGCACGAGTTGTGGGATAACTTATCATACAACTAGGACGTTACAAAATTCTTTCTTTGTATTGATTGCGTAATAGTAGAGTTGTAGTTGTTATTCTTATTCGTTTTCAGAAAAAGTGTGTGTGTGAGAAAATCTCACCAAAAAAAAAAAATTTCAAAATTCGAATAATTTTTTTTTTCTTGCACCGCATAACTCCAAAACCGCATAAAAAGAGAACGAAGTGTACATGCTAAAAAAGTACAACTTAAATTTTGTCTCTGAGTATAGGTAATTTATCGATATAGCTTTCAATATTTCATATTT